GCCCAGGTGTCTGAGGTTGCACTGGGCTATAATCAGGACACTCTGCTGTCATGGTCACTTTTGTGAGCAGTGGAGGACACTGGCTTCCTAACAGAGAGGATTAACATCACTAGCTCCATTTTGTGTCTGACCCTCTGCCCTAATGTGCTTTATATTAAGTGTTTCTGTTCAGCTCTGCGCATAGGCCAGAAGAAAGATGATACCTATCCCTTTCCCAGAACTAACTCCCAGGAAAATAAGAAAAGTACACACACAAGTAACAACGTTAAGTGAAAGATTCACAGGAACAATTGTGACCTGAACCATCCAAAGTTAACTGACCACGAACACAGAATTTTTGCACTCTGCTTAGATCCTGACTGATGCCCAGGTGTTTGCAGCCCTCGGTTACCCCAAGGAGCCTCCTGTCCCCTTAATAATGTAAAAAGGACCCTAAAGTTCACAGCAACTTAAGATGGTTCTTTTTGTTTGTTTGTTTTGAGACAGAGTCTCACTCCGTCGCCTTGGGTGAAGTGCAGTGGTGTTCATCATAGCTCACTCCAACCTCAAAGTCCAGAGCTCAAGTGATCCTCCTGCCTCAGCCTCCCAAGTAGCTGGGACTACAGACGTGTGCCACGATGCGCCTGGCTAATTTTTCTATTTTTAGTAGAGACAGGGTCTCCCTCTTGCTCAGGCTGGTCTCAAACTCCTGGGCTCAAGTGATCCTCTGGCCTCCACCTCCCAGAGTTCTAGGATTACAGGCGTGAGCCACCACACCCAGCCATTAACATGGTTCTTAACATTATTCTGCCATCTTCTCGGTTTGGTGGCTCACTAAAAAGTCTCTTTCCTTGCCCCAATATCTTGATTCTCAAATATTTGGCTCTCCGGTGGCAAATGGTATGACTTGGACTCAGTTACAGCTTCATGAGAATGTTTGGTAATGTTGGGGCTTAGAAACCAATACCCCCAAATTTGGCACTTTGCCGTGCTGAACTGGAGAAGCCTCAAGATCTCTCTCACCTTCTCCTGCCCTAAACCAATTGAAATTTTTTTTAATCTGCCTCAGATCCAGACCCACTCCTTCCTCCTTCCCCTCCCCAGATGCATGTCACCAGGGGCAGGAGGGAGACCAGAGGGTTGGCCTTGGGTGAAATCTGGCCAGGCATCTATAGAATTGCACATTACCCAGCTTATGCCCCTCCTGTAGGTCTTGTGGACCTTGGTGGCGTGGTGGAGGTCGTGTGTTTACGCAGAGGAACAGTTCTTGAACAGTTTCCTCCAGCTGCTTTGGTTTTGCCAGAAGGCTCACACTTTGCATTTGGCGATGGAGTGCCCTCCTTTTTCAACTGTGCTCTGATTCTACGCCATTTTCACTCAATGGTTAGCTCACGTCTCAATTCTGCAAAAAGGAAAGCTGCTTATTCATTTGCTGAGTCATGATGAAGAAATAATGATGATTAAAGAATTAAATAGGCCGGGCGCGGTGGCTCACGCCTGTAATCCTAGCTCTCTGGGAGGCCCAGGTGGGCGGATTGTTTGAGCTCAGGAGTTCGAGACCAGCCTGAGCAAGAGCGAGACCCCATCTCTACTAAAAATAGAAAGA